CCTGATAGCTAAACCCTATCAGTCGACCTCTTAATAGTGATTAGGCTTCTAATTAAATGTACAAGGACTAAACTGCCCCTACTTAAGTATGGGACAGAGAACCTCTAATAAGACTGCCACATAAGCTCATAACTTAACCAAGGTGAGTTGACTAATCTACCCTTATTTGGCTAACTCTAACACAATACTTTTAATCCTAGGTTTTCCTGCACATACTTTCTGGTGCTTCTGAATATGATGAGCTTCCCGTGCGGCATAACGAGGTAAATTTTTTTCTACTATAAGAACTTTATTGGTATTTTCTTTTCTTTTCCCCCTCATTGAAATTTATGAGGAAAGAGGGGTGACTTTTGGTACTAGGTTCTGTTAGATGGGTAAGGAATTTATAAGTTGATAGTCCGTGTATTTTTCATCTTTTGCACATATATGTGTATATAGCCTACATTTTCACTTATCATTCATATTATATATTCATACATGTTCATCTATATGTCATTGACAGATGATGTAGCATTAATGCATTTGACAAATACATATCGTAAAAATAGTTTATAGTATTGCCTGGAGTCAAAAAATTTTTTTTCATCTAATTAAATGATAAGTTGTACTCTGATTCAAGTTCTATGAATTTCTTTGTATTGTGTTTCTTCTTTTCTTTCTCCATTCAGCGTGAGCTGTTTATGCTTAGATTGCTAGGACTTGTTAAGACTGTTCAATCCAATAGTCACAACAATTCCTTACAATCATCCAATAAAACACAAGCATGTTGCTATCAGTCAAATAAAAAAACCAAATAACCCAGTGAAGGCATAGGCATGTTTTCTATTGCTACACCAAATGATACAAGAACAACCCACTATCATATAAAATTAGAACTACCTCTAGGATATACTTCCCAACTTTGACAAATAGGTGATAGTAATACCAAGGTATCTTAACATGTGGATTGACACCTAGGTTATAAGGCACTCATGGATGGTTGCCTCACTTAATAGCCAAGATATTTTTGCACAGTGCTTTGGATATTTTTATATTCTTAACTTTATGAGATTATAATAGTAAAACAGACATTATTATTAAACTAAACTGTTCAGTTTGAGTTAAATACTAGTTTCTTTTTAGTATTTTTCTTATTTGTTAGGGTTCCATCAAGATGTATAGTGTCTTGAACCCTCAAAGACTTCATAACCTGAACTAATAAGCATGGAAGAACTCAAAATTTTGTCCAATCAACACATGCTAGAAGAACTCAAAGACTTCTTCTTCTTCTCGCCTCGGCACCTTGAAAACTATGAATGTACATACACAAATAACATTTTACTATCCAAAAAAATAGTGATTATATTAGATTCCATTACCAAACAAATGGAATTAATTATCAATTACCGCATTAATAAAAAATGAGTAATTGTAGATGTGCTTTTCCATGTCAGTTGCTTTATAAGTGTTTTAACATCTTTTTGTATGCATCATCTTATGGTGTAGAAGGGAGGGCTACAAATTTTGTGGAAGTTTTAGAAAAATGGTATGACCAAATAGATAAGAGGAGCTTGTAACATTTATTGTGTTCAACGTTTTACATGCTTGTAATTAAAAAGTCACTTCTTTCATGGTTTGTTGTTTTTTATGCTTTCATTCCCATTATTTTGCAGGAAAATTACAATGAAGCATTATCTGAAAAAGTGCCATATCTGGTGGATAAGAATCGCCTAGATGACCCACATGTTAAAGCAAATCTACTTTTTCAGGTCAGGAACATTCATGATTACCTTCCAGCATATTTTTAAGATGCCCCATTTCTGCTTTCTATTTTTCTATTGCCATTTCATGTGTTATTGGTTTCTTCTCGGTTTTCAGGCACATTTCTCACAGTTAGAATTGCCAATCAGTGATTATGTCACAGACCTTAAATCTGTATTGGATCAAAGTATCCGCATTATTCAGGCTATGATAGATATCTGTGCTAACAGTGGATGGCTTTCAAGCACCTTAACATGTATGCATCTTCTGCAAATGGTCATGCAGGTATTACCATTCTTTTATTAATTGTTCTCCTCCTTGACAATGAAAGAAGAAAGCATAGCTAGACACTTCTAGCAATATATCTTTAGTCAAGGTATCCACTTTCTTGTTGACCATTTTTTAGGAAAGAGAGAAGAGGGCAAGAAATCCAAACAAAAAAAAAACATTATCCAACAATGTTTATCCAAGGAGTCCCTCACTCCTGTAATAGAAAAAAAGAGTCCTAAAAATAATTGAATAAAACAAAGAAAATTTGCCATAACTCCCTGATGATATAGGACTGTTTGCTTTGATACCAATTGATACAGGACTTGAATGACCGAAGGATGAGTCTAGAAGAGTTAGGACGGGTTTAGGAGTGATTAGGACTAAATACATAAATTGGTTAGGTTAGAAAAGGTCTAGAGAGTTAATTGCAAGAAATAAAATTTATTCCAAAATTTGAAATATGGAAAATAGGTCTAGTATTGGAATTGTTAAGTTGACTGTTTTTATGTATTGTTGGTTCGGCTGATAAGTGTACATGTTAGTAAGTATTGGGTTTTAAGCTGTTAGGTACTGGGCCTTTGTTATTGGACCTAAGTCTGTTTAGTGTTTTAAGTAGTCTGGGTGTCCCATCACTAATCAGGGGCATTCCAGACATTTCATGTAACACTGTATTGTAATCTACTATAAATAATAGTACTGTTGACTGGGTTACTCAGTTCGACATTCTCAGCACTTG